AAAAGAAAAAACGGTAATAAACATCGGCGAAAAAATCTATTGAGGAAAAAAAATTTGAATCTAAACTTTCAGTTTGTGAAGGAATAGATCAATTGCAAATTCCAAAAGTTGATATTTATTATAAATTTTAGAACTATTTCAATATATTTAAAATTTGAGGATTAAACGAGTTAAAAAAATTATAAATTTTTAAACTTTGAAAATTAATAAATTATTTCAAAATTATTTTAATTGTTAAAAACAGATGATAAAAATTGCTTATAAATGCAGCATAAATATAAAAAGAAAAAAAAATGCAAAGGAAACGAAAAAGTTTAATTTTTTTAAAGATTGTATTTTTTTGACTTTATTAAAATCTTTTAAAAAAAACGAGTGAAATTACCTGAATTTAAAGAAAAAAAATTCAAGTGATATATTTGATAAGAATTTCTAGAAATTCTATATTCGGAGAAAGGCGTACGATTTGTATATAATACATCTGCAAAATTTTTTTTACATTCTGATCGTTTGAAAAATATTGAAAGGACAGTCAAATATAAATCATCAAAAACAATTACTAAAAATGAATACGACAAAAAATATGAGGTTTTTATAAAAATACACTTTGGAAAATTTTAAAATTAACTCAATAAATTTCATTAATCGAAAATTTTTCCAAATCTTACATAAATTCTTAAAAAATTGCAAATTCAAACGATAATTATAGTCTCAAAATAAATAGATATATAGTATACTATAACCAATTAGAGATCATTTAAAATTAATACAGTATATTCGAAATTGTTTATGAAATTTGTGATTTGAAAAAATTACAGCAACAATTTGAAACTGTACAAATACAATAAGGAAAATAGATGTGAAGGAATTGGTCAGAATGGATCAAAAAAATGTCCATGAAAGTTTTCATTTAATGTTAATAAAATTGAAAAGTATAAAATTACAAATGTGACATTTGAATTTGGAATTAGAAGAAATGAACTTAAATATAGCTTTGATCATCCCAGTTCTTTTATCATACCAAATATGATTATTTATCCTTCCAAGAAATGATAGCGATGATCATTCTTAAACAGATGATCCATTGATTAAGACATTAATGATTGGAAAATATCATAAATTGGAAGTATGGAAAAATAAATTAATTTACATTTGAATCATTGATTGAAGTGATAATTATCATGTTTCGGAATATCATGAGTTTGGAAGAATTTTTTTTCCAGCATTTTTATGTTTTTTTCTTTCTCCAGGAAGATTAAGATAAAAACTTAAAGATTAAACAGTGAAAAAAATTCTTAGAGAAGAGAAAGTAACTAAAGGTTTAAGGTTAAAGGTCAAGGTTGAATATAGTTTATAGAAAACAAACAATATGAACACATATATTGCAATCAATAAAAAGAATTCTGATACGATGAAATACATTCATGTGCATTCTTCATCATCGAATAATAAACATAAAAAATAATTACTGGTGATTATATCGTTTAAGTTATTATTTTCCTTTTTTTTTAAACAATATCAACAAAAATTTAACTTTTTAGAAAATGGAAAATTCAATTCAATTTGTGTAGTTAGGAATATTCGTCAGTATGTGAAATTATGGAAAAAAGGATGATGAATTAGATGGTTCAAAAATGTTGCCAAAATATAATTTATTAATTATGAAAAAGATTTGCAAATTATCGCTGTTTAACTAATAAAAAAAATAATAAAAAAAAAATAATAAATAAAAAAAAAAAATGGAAGCTTATCATTAATTAAACATAATTTAATTTATATCAACAAACATAATTTTAACTTTATAGACTTTTTGTATTTTTCATATATCAATTCTGAAGCTATTTTATAAAAGGTTTTTGTATATCATTAAAATATGATTTGGGCATTTTCAGCTATCCGAAATTTTATTATTTTTCGTAATTTTAATGAGTGATAAAGATTGGATCAGTTAAATTGAACATTTATTGATATAAATTAACTTTCATCGTTTACTATCAATTAGTGATCAAAAAAAAAAAAAAAAATAGAATACAATATATCCATAATATGATAATTATTTGAAGTAATTTTTAGCTCAATTCAAGAACTCAACTCATACCATCCAGTGCAATCACATACATACAGTATGCTATGTTTCCATTCTTTATCATATTTTAATTAATTAAATATGATGAAATTACTCTATTTTCGAAGACTATAATTAAGAAAAAAAATTAATACATTACATTATTTAGGTAAAACAAACAGAGGCGAATGATAAAACACATATTAAAAATCAGCACACAATGACGAAACAGCAAGACAAGGATTATGTATTGGTTTTTTAAAGAAGGCAAAATTTTGAAATTAATCAAAAATTCGAACATGTTAATTTCGAAAAAATAAAGCATTAGTTAATCATGCAAAGAGAAATTAGTTTAATAATTCACTAAAAAATTTATGAAGTTAGTTTAATAATTCACTAAAAAATTTATGAAGTTAGTTTAATAATTCACTAAAAAATTTATAAGTCTAATTTTTTCTTTGCCAAAAATAAAAGGATAAATATACATTATTCCGGTTAATTATATTGATTTCATTCACTTTTTTTCTTTTTTTTTCTGCAATTATAATGAATGATGAAGAAATGTTGAAAGTATCAGAAAGATTTGATGTTAAAGTTAATGTGACAGAAATATATAATGGAAATAATATATTCATTTTTGAAATTGAAAAGGTAAAAATAATTCTTCAATTATAAGTTATCATTTCAGGCAACGATAATAGAATAGTGCAATGTAAAATATGATTTTGGATTAATCTAGGATTTTAAATTACCATTTACATTTCAGATTAAAATAGACAATGTTTCAAAATTATTGTAATTTTTTGAATTACGATATTTTTCTTTTTTTTTGAATAATAATTTATGGAATTATTTTAGTTAGATTCAATGGAACAGCTAAAATTATTTGTTAAAATGTGGTCAAAAGTTATCAACGATTAAAAATCACATAGATTCAACCAGCACATCATCATTATCAACTCAAAGAATTATTTTGAACTTCAAACTCCTATTTCTCTTCACTTTCTCTTTCATTTGCTAAACTTTTTACCATTTATCAGTAATTTAATTTCATAAACACAATAGTTGTCAACTTCTTCTTTCTTCTTCTTTCTTTATTGTTATTTTTGTTGGGTAAATCATATTTTATTTAAACAATACAATACAATTTATAGTCATAAGCAGTGCCAATAAGTATGATTTGGTGATTGAAACATTTTCAGGTCATCATTTTTGTACTTACAGTGATAAATAGGATGATATTTGTTAAAGGAATGGTTCTCAATCGATGATTTGCGAGCTTCGCTATTTTCATTCACTTCCATCTTGCCTTACAAAACTTTTTCATTTTTTATCAATAATTTGTTTTCATAAACACAATAGTTAACAACTTAATTTTGCCTCTATATCGAAAACAAGCAAGAGCTATTCTTATCACATCTTGATAAACTAACATGTTAAAAGGCACAATTAAAATTTATTTTCAAATTAACAGAATTTATTATTTGTGAACCTTGTGGTCCCCGCTAACAAATAAAGAAGCTAAAATGGCACCTGGTTAAGAAAATATTGAGAACCATTGTTTATGAAGAATGAATGTAATATTAGTAAAATGAAATTAAAGATATTGTTTGAAATATTATTGATAAAATTAATTTTATATCGTGAAATTATTAGATGTTTTATTTCAATTCTCTTAAATATGTGTACTTTAAATTCTATTTCATATTGCATGCTATTCATTCATTTATAATAGTATTTAGTAAAGTTGTATTTAGTATATTTCAATTTTCAATTTAATCTCAAAAATTAAAGATATCTGAAATAAGAAGAGTAATGTTGAAACAATGCATTGGTTAGTAATAAATAGAAGAATGTAAAAACGCAAATTAACACATTAAAAAAAAAAAGAAAAAAAAATGTAGAAATCAATGAAACTCATCGAATATGATTCTTGTAATAATTTTTATTTTATTTTTTCAAACAAAACTCTTTTGTAATTACACGAAATAAGATAATAATTAAAAATGAACCAGTGAATTCAATTTTTATCATGATCAATCTTTTGAAACTATTCCAAACCCTTACAATAAATAAGATTATTTTGATGATATAAAAATTAACTGATAAAAAAATCATTCGTATAACTGATTCACTGATCCCATGACCATATTCATAAATTGCAACAATCATATAACGGATGAAATTTACCTTTGAAATATACGAATCACAATGATTGGAGAATTGGCAATAATTATCAATCCAAACTTCATTCTGAATTTTTATGACTGTCATGTTCTGAAAAATTACGTTTACATTGACCGAATGAAAGGTGTGATATTGTCAAAGTTTAATCAGTATAATTGAAATGGAATAAAATAAACAGTTAATGAGTTGAAAATCGCACATCTCTCCATCTCCTAGAGAATATACCGTAGTAATTAATTAGATATAACTTATAATTCTTGAAATAATCAAACATTCGTTCTAATCATTTTAAAGACACTTTTAATTCAATTTTGGGAATGAAGAAGGAAATGAAAGAAGAAAAGAAATAGGATGGGATTTCAGGATTGATATGTCAAGGATACATGCTGATTGTTATTGATATTATCTTACTTTCAATTTGGAAACAAAAATCAACAATATTTTTATTTTGAGATTAAAGGTTAAACGGTCGTTAAGTTAGGACAAAATGTTTAATTGCAAAGATTTCAGAAATTTTAAAATTCTTTCGAAAATTTTTATAAAGATTAAAACAACTAACTAACCTACGTATCCTTTTTGCAATGAGTGCATTATCAATATTAGAGCTTGATTCCTGGATGAAATTCGTATCAAGGGTCTCTTTCGATTGTATTAATATCCTGCGACGAGCATTGATAAACCTGAAATAATTAAGCTTCCAGATTTTCCATTCCTTGAACAATATTTGAAATAATCAGAAAAAATCCTTAAGATGAAATATTGATTTATATGCTCTTAAGGATTTGAATTAGATTGTGCATTTTATGAAACGAACATTCTGCTTCGAAATTTACCAGTTGTTGATTTGAACCATTTGTAAGCCGGTTTCTCGTGATAGCATCGCTTTTTCATTTTCACTCGGATATGGATGCTGAAAAAATGAACCTATTTATCTAATAACATATTTTCTTTCATGATTACAATTTTCATTACAAATTTTTATCATATAATAATTATCATTGTTATCATATCATACACATTAACCAATTATCAAGAAAAAAAAAAGATTCTTTTTTTAAAATATGTTCTATTCTAATATTTATCTTGTCAAAAGAATCAAATTCTTACAGATGAATGCAAAAATAGCCAAGTTTTGAGTAATTCAACAGCTTTAGCTGGTAATTGTGCTTTCCGTTTCGAATCACAACTCTCTTCCTCAACAGATTCTTGTGCATCATTTTTCTGGAGAGAAAAAAAGAAGAAAATATGACAAATTTGAACCTATTTAAAATTCCGGTAATTCCAATCAATCAAAATAAAAATTGATATATAAATTAAACCTCTGGGATTGGATTGGTGGGCGATAAACAACAATCCGAAGTTTTTTGTCCTGTTAGCGAAGTTTGCATTGTTGATGAATGTGACTCGACCGCATTCCAAAGTGGTATTGAAACCTAAAAACTCATTATTATTATTATTATTATTATTATTATTATTATTATTATTATTATTATTATTATTATTATTATTATTATTATTATTATTATTATTATTATTATTATTATTATTATTATTATTATTATTATTATTATTATTATTATTATTATTATTAT